TTAGCAGAGCTGTGATCATTGGTGAATGTGCTTAAACATCCAACAGAAGGGAATGCATATTCTACATTCAACAGAATGGAACATTCTATTGACTCTACCGGATTTTTTAGTTATTCTTTTTTATTATTATGAATAATGTCCAACAACACTTTACACTTTACACTTGACATTTACCCTGCTTGGGAGAAGACACCATCTCTCTCCCCATCACACTACTATTACTATGTATCTATCTGAGTGTGGTTGAAATTTGGATGGACCCTTAATTCAGAAGCAGACCAGGATCAGATATACAAATATAAAATAATATACTTCAAAAATGATTCAGCATTCAGTGTTCAACACCAGTTTTCTCTCTCAAGGTATGGGATTATTGATTGATTAAAAAATTTACCACTTCTCAGCAGGTTACAGTTGTGATGTGATGTACAATGATTAAAATATTCTTAAAAAAGCAAACAAAGGTGTTTTTCTTCCACAATTTTCTTTTTAAAACATACACAGGACCACAGGTTGATCCTAGGTTTCAGGACCAAATGCTATATGAAAAAAATCTTGGCTCAGAAGGGATGGAGGTAGCCCATTTTCTTTGGGGGAGAGATCAACAAATGAAATACTGCTATCCTTTTTGCCCACCCACTCAGAATAAAAATATAGAATCTCTATTTTAGATATATGATTTATGGATAAACAAAAGGCCACTTTATTAATTATTTAATGCTGATCTGATTCCACCTCAACATTAGGAAGAACTTCCTGTTGGTAAGAGCTGTTCAACAGTGGAACACATTCCCTTAGAACAGGGGTAGGCAACCTTTTCCCTTTAAGGGCCGAGGGACTTCAGCTCCCAGAATCCCAGGAACTATTGTCCAGCATGGGACTATTGGCCAACATGGCTGAGGCTTCTGGGAGCTGAAGTCCCTCGGCCCTTAAAGGGGAAAGGTTGCCTACCCCTGCCTTAGAATGTGGTGAGGTCTCTTTCTTTTGAAGCTTTTTAGTAGAGGCTGAATGTCCAACAGTTGGGAGTATGTGTTTCTGCATGGCAGTGGTTAGGACTGGATGGCCCTTGTGGTTTCTTCCAACAATTATTCTATGATTCTATGATCAGCCACAGGCGTGCTTAGTGTGGTATATACTGAAGCAGGTATAATCTTATATCCTCTCAAGCATGTCTAGGGGGAGCCACCCTGGCCACAGATGCAAGCTATTCAACGCAGCTGTCCCCAGCTAGTCTATTTCCACACGTTGAACATGTTGACTCTCCCCTCAAACCCTCAATTCCAAAGAAGTAAGCCAATCAGCTCCAGTGCTTCCCTTTCTTATCCCTAAGTCCAATGGCTTAGTGGGGAAATCTAGAGAATTCTCATAATAAGATGCCTTTTTGGTGAATCAACCAAGACTTCACCTCCCTTCACTAACCTGCTGAAAGTAACTAAATATGTATTATTACTTAATTAATAACTTTTAACTTAAGCTGCTTAAATTACATTCAAGTCAATATCTCATTTTAGAGCAACATTCAAAGCCAATTTTCCCATAGTGTCATGGTGAATCAATACAAGATAGGCATAACACTTTCCCCCTATGGAGGGCAAAGGAAAAGTAAAATTCCTTCCTGACCTCCTAAAAGCTGACCAGCCAAAGCAAGTGCTAATCCTGGGGTGAGCGGGTGAGCCAAGAAATATTGCAAGTTGCTAGAAGAGTGGACTAGGGTTTATAACCTTTCATGTTCCTCTCCATGCATCACTACAAACACATTGTTTCTCTTTCCCTCCTTCTAGGATGGCAAATGAGCTCTCCCAGCCCTCACTGTCCTAGATGATGCAGGACAAAGAACTAGATTTCACATCCTCAGCAACTTGGCTTCTTAGGATTATAGGATATGAAATAGTGCCTTTCTTCAGAATTGCAAATTCTGGGCAAACTCATATGGGAGGTGGAGTTTTAGCTATCCTGGACCCAAGCTGTTTAGAGTTTGTATGCCAATATCAGCACATTGAATTGAGCATGCAAACAAATTGGAACCTGATGTAGTTTGTACAAGACAAATGATATGTAGGGCCTTTGCAGACTGCCAGAAATAGTGCAAATTGAGTCCACTTTAACTGCCCTGGCTCAGGGCTAGGGAATCATGGGAATTGTATTTTTTTCTGAGACATTGAGCCTTCTCTGTCAGAGAGCTCTGGTGCCACAATAAACTACAGGTCCCATGATTCCCTATCACTGAGCCAGGGCAGTTAAAGTGGACTCAATTTGCACTATTCTGGCAGTCTGCAAAGGCTGGTAGTCTCTGATGATAATACACTGCGACATTTTGTATTACCTATAGCTTCCAAACATTTTTCAAGTGCATTTAGCACATTGAAGTGGTCTAAAATAGAGGTAATTAGGCCCTGAACCACTGTGGCTAAATCCAGTGAAGTGCATTGGTAAGGGATAATAAGGGGGAATTTCTATGCTATGATCTCACCAAAGCCTCCTTCTGAAGCTCTTATTTTCATAGTAAATGATGCCTCAGTGTCAAGAGCAGGAGTGTTCTTTGAAATACAAACAGCATCTTCAGGTTATTTTTTTCCCCAGCACTTTGCCTGGAGGAAATAAAAATTAAAATTCTCTCCCCACCCCCCACCCCCTAATCTGCAGTTGTTCAGGCTATGTCTTGGTCACTATATGTATAATGGAATTCATGCATTTTAATTACATTAACAAAGCTAATGTCAGTTTTCTCCTTCTCTCTGTCTCCCTTGCCTTCTCTTTCTGTCTTGGTCTTTAGGGTGTAGCTCTAGAATACTGAAGCAAAACAACCTTCCTATCCCAGAATTTAGTTTAGTGTGCTATCAAATTTTCTCCAGATATGAGTTTCAAGTGAGAAAGGTGTATGGAAATGTTTCCCTTTGCCACTTAAATCCAATATATTTCATATGTCTTCAGTTTTCCTTAGTGCAGTTTTGACACCTTTTAAAAATTCTTCCTAGAATCAGTGAGGTCATCACTAGGGATGTTTCCAGAGTTGTCTCTAAATGATTTATAAATAGTGCTGGAGTAGGAATAGGAGTAGGCAATAGCAAGAAACTAAAATATTCATATAGTTGGCAAAATATAAAAAAGAATTGAAGACTGAATATTTGTAAATATTATTTTCACCTTTACAAATAATATATCTTCACACCAACACCTATAAACATGGAAATCAACCATGCTGTGGGCAACTTGATTTTATTATGTTTTAGGGGGACTGCAGATGGGTGACTCTTGGCCGCCCTAAGAAGTGGCGGATTGGAACTGCGGCAACACCATGCTGCGGCCCCGATTCTCCCTTTTGCCACCCTGAAAAGAGCGGCAAAATGGTGCTCCTATTAGGGGCAACAAAAGGCTGTCCTAAGAGCTGGCATGTGACTCTTCAGCACCCTTTTCAGTGCAGTGTGTCAGAACGCTACACCATGAGCATCCTGACACCGCACATTGTGTGTAACTATTAGGAGTGTTGGGATATGTAGTTAAAATGGAAATGTACAGATGTGGGGAAATTTCTATTGGAAAGATTTTGGAGCCTGCAGGCAGCAAATGTAAACAAAATATACCAAGGTCAGTGGCTTGGGAACACAGGCAGATAGAACATAAACAATTAGATCATCTTGTTGTCTGGGAACCAGGATCACATGACTCACAGCAAGAGGGCTAGGTTAGAGGCTATTCAGCAAATTGTCTATGGAGGTATCCACACATGGGAGGAATTTGGGGTTTGGCTCAGAGCCTTCTTTGTTCAAACATAAAACTGTGTGTGTTCAATCTTTCATTATTCCTTCCTGTTTGAATATGGATGTGTATAGTTTTCTCTTTACTATGTAATCAAGAATAAAAACCTTCTTTTGTTTTGATGTGGCTTAAAGAAAAGCTTGAATCTACAGGGAGCTGTAGAATGTCTTCATTCCAGGATGGTGAGCTCAGCACAGCTCTGATTGAGAGACAAAGGTGGCTGATGGATAAAAGCTTGGCATTCCAGCACAAGATCTCTACTACTGCAACACCACCATAAATAAATCAACAGTAACAGTGCACGGTGTCAGGACAGGGTCACTGTGGGGTTTGGGCAGCTGGTGTGTGGCTGCCCTGCCCCAAGTCTGCCTCCAGGCTGGCCCTATGGGCCTCTGCAGAGGTCCATAATTTGTTATTTAAATTGTATTTTGATATAGATATGTCATAATGTCCTGAACAACCTCTCTATTTTTGTCTGCTCCTACATATCTCTGGTTTACCATGACCTTCCTTGGATTTTAAATGTGTTTACTCAAATTTCATCTCATTATTTACCCACCCTTTGCTTCCACCTCTGTTCTGCCATTTGTGAGTACAAAGTAATGAGCAGTATTTATACAAATATGTTCTATGTGTACCATCCATTATTTGCTAAGCTTTCCTATCAAGAGCTGTTACCTAGAGGCCTGCAATGACTGATAAGAAACATAGTACTTCTGTGGCATTACATCAGCCAAAAGAGGTGTGTGCTGAACTTTAATGTTAACAAACAGAGTAACAACATCGTGAATTGTCTCTAGGTAAAATCTATTCGAAACTATTTAAAAAGTGATGGAGAGGGAGATGGCGGAGAAATTGTTTATAACAGTACAGTAGCCACTTATGCATTGGCAAAAAAATAGGAAATGAAACATCAAAACATTGCATAAAATCTGCATGCACTGATTGATATGCATCAATTAAAATTTGGAAAGCTGATTATAGATTAAATAGAAATACAATCCATCTGACCATAGCAGTGGGCCTGCAGAGTCTGCCGTCCAGTTGCAAATTGTTGAAAGCCCCTGGTCTCTTTTCTTGTGGCTCTTTCTCTTGCCTATCTTCTCTAGTACTTCATACAAGTTGTTGTTATGTGCCTTCAAGTCATTTCCAACTTATGGCGACCCTGAGGTGAACTCATCTTGTTTTTTTTGGGGGGGGGATAAGAATGTGAAATTGGTTCAAGGTCACACATTAGGCTTCCATGGCCAAGCTGGGAATCAAACCCTAATCTTTGGAGTCATAGTCCAATGCTCAAACCACTATGCCACTTACATATGTTTCCAATGTATTTCTGATGAAAATTTACTAGAATTCACATTGTGCTGTTATACCATCTGGTAGTTAATATGCAATGAGATGATAAAAAATCATACATTTTAATGTGGGGAAAACAAAAACTGACACCCAGGCCCATGGCTTTGGGGCTTTGCAGACCAGCTCAAAGGGCCAGACTGGGGGTGGAGTTAGGGTGGGGCAGCCACACACCAGTCACCCCAACTGCACCCTGATGCCACTCACCTGTTTGTATGGCACACAGCATCAGGACACCCTACTGGTGCAGTGCGCAGACACACTGCACCGAAAGGGCAAGGAACAGCCATGGCACTGGCTCTTAGGGTGGCCTTTTGCTGCCCCTAAAAGGAGTGGCAAAAGGGAGGCTCAGGCCCAGGTGTGGAACAATTCACAAGAATAAGGCAGACAATAAAACGTAAGCATTAGGAAAAAGAAAAACTTGAGGGGGGGACTGTATTGGTCTTAGTTAAGACCATTATTTTCCCAAAGCCTTTCAGTGACCTTGTTGTGACCCTTCTAAATTAAGAAGCTCCACTGTAGTATGTACTGCTTCACTCATGTTTCCTTTCCTTTCTTTTAAATGTTTTAGTGTTACTCAAATAACTCTGTTTTTTATTTGCTTGCTTTTCACTCAGTAATATTATTGTGATATTAGGATTCTTGCTTTTATTGATAAGTTAGTTCTACTGGACTTTTTAATGAAAATTTTGGTATGTACATTTTATTAAAACAAAACATATAAAAGTAGAGAAGACATTAATATATCACTCACTGATGGAGAGGAGGGATTATGTATTGATTTGAAATCATCCACTAAATCTTTGGCTCTAGCAAGGACGTATTGTCAGATTCTTTGTGAGATAAAAAAAAAACATGCAAGAAACATTTTTTAAAAATAGAAAGAAATGTGAACTGCTCTGTTCAATTGACTAGGACACTATTTTAAGAAGCCAGTTCAGGATTAAGGAAAGTTGCATTTTGTTTTTTTTAAATGTTTCTCATAATTTATACTGTCAGTTTAATTTCACCAGATTCTACATCAGTTTACAGATTTTGTTTTGTGAAAATCTGTTTTAAAATTTCTGTTTATTTTCTACACATTTCTGTCAAGGTACACAATTATTATTTTTAAACTGTATTTGATTTTTAAATTATTAATACAAAGAAAGAGGATAACTCAAAGAAAGGGATTTGCATTTCCATTTTAACAGTCCTGGCATATAAAGAGTTAATCATGTTGCTCTTGTAACAGCATGTCCTTCACAATGTAACAGTGACATGACCCAATGTTTAGCTTCAACTACCAGTCAAAACAATTTCACTTTCTCATACCAGATCAGACTCCATTTTTTCCTTTTTTATCCAATTTAGGGGGGTTGCAGACTGCCAAAAATAGTGCAAATTGAGTCCACTTTTGGGGTTAGGGTTAGGGAATCATGGGAACTGTATTTTATTGTGGCACCAGAGCTCTCTGACAGAGAAGGCTCAATGTCTCAGAAAAAAAATCCCATGATTCCCTAGCACTAACCCTAACCCTAAAAATGGACTCAATTTGCACTATTTCTGGCAGTCTACAACCCCTCTTTAGTTGCAAAGTGAATGTAAAAATGACCCAATTTAAACTTTAAAAAAGTTAATTTCATTATTTTCAATCTCCGTGTTGTTATCCATTTGAAAGCTATATTCTTTTCCCCTTTTCTATGTAGTTTCAAAAGACTTTTTGCTTTGTCTACACAAGCCTCACATTACTTAAAGCATCAACACATTTCTAACAACAACAATAACAATATAGAGAAAGGTTCTCATCAAAGCATCAATTAACCACTAGCTTGAAGATTCCTTTTTAAATCCTTTTGTTCCAGATGTTAATATTTATACAGTTATAATTAAAAGAAAGAGAGTGTTTGAGGCTTAGACACTAGCATTAGACACTAGTGAACTAGTTCATGTATAGCAGGCAGAGCTAATGGAATTAGGGTTAGGGTTAGTGCTAGGGAATCATGGGAATTGTTTTTTTCTGAGACATTGAGCCTTCTCTGTCAGAGAGCTCTGGTGCCCCAGTCTCCCTCCATTTCATTTCTGGTCAGTTCAGTTCACTTTTATTATGGTCATAACTCAGCTACAATATCACCCAGGGGCTCACCAGGGTTTATAGGAGCTTGTGAGCAGACTTCTTCCATCTTGTCTAGGAGAAAGCACCAGTTGGAACTTGTCTGCTGACTGGTGCCTATCGCTGTTGTCATGGTCTACCCCATGAAGCCCCATGAAGAATGTGTCAGTCTTTCACTCTGCATCAAGAAATTTCTCAGCGTTTTCTGAACAGGAAACAGCATTTTGTGCATGGAATTTTAATTTTAATTTTGGTACAGAAAATGCTGTAACTGGGGATTTATTATATGCAAAGTTCACACATAGTTGATTTACAGAGAAAATAGCATTTTCTATAGAGAAATCACATTTTCTCTAAAAGAATTAATATTTCAGCATTGAAATATTATTTTCAACACAAAAAAACCCACACAGTTTTCTGTGTAAAACATTCACCTGTGAATTTTCCTGGAATTGTGATCACCTTCCAAATCTACAGGGTTCTTGAAGACTTTCTTGTGGTGAGAAAAAAAAATGCTGAAATTACTGATTGTTGCCTTTGAGCAGAATGTTGGTATTGGCTTCCTTAATGATCTTTCATGATAGATATAAAAGAGTGTTATTTAAATCCATGTAATATTTACCATTTCCTGCAATGAAAAGATCTAGTGGTGCAGATTCAGCCAGAGCTGTCAAAGGGCACACCTCAATATACAAACTTTTCTCAATACTTGCCTGTGTAGGCCCAATAGTAAATAGGTTTAATTCAGATTTATTACATTCTTCAGAAACCTGTGGATAAAAGCCATGATAGTAGTTTAAAATATGGCATCAGATGCCTCTCCTCCTCTTCCTTACAGCTCTTCAGCTCAGAGTTTTGTTCCTTCTCATATCTTTTATTTTAAGGGCTTGGAGAGAGTCTATTAACCACACCCATGATGCTTTTTTCTTTTGGCCCTGCCTCCTTTGAATATATACCAGTGCTGATCCTTCTTGTGGAGTTGTGAGGTTCATTTTATTTATAACCATTTGAGTAACTTCACTAGCCACATCTTTAACAATATTATGAACAACAGTTTTAACATGGAATTTATTTTTTCCTTTTTTATTTTATTGAAATGCAAAATACATATCAAATCATTGTTTCTTCTTCATTACATTCTATTATATTCTTAGGGTCTTTGCAGACTGCCAGAAATAGTGCAAATTGAGTCCACTTTAAGGGTTAGGGTTAGAGTTAGGGAATCATGGGAACTGTATTTATTGTGGCACCAGAGCTCTCTGACAGAGAAGGCTCAATGTCTCAGAAAAAAACAATTCCCATGATTCCCTAGCACTAACCCTAACCCTTAAAGTGGACTCAATTTGCACTATTTCTTGGAAGGATGGGGAAGACGACTTGCCCCCTCGATCCTTGTCCATCATGGCTGGTCGCCC